GGAAGTACTTACCGAGACGTTCATTCGCGAAGGTGAATAAACCTTTGTACAACTGAGAAAACATCAATTACACAACAGACCTATATTGTTTACAACACACGATCTCATAGGCACGTGCTTTCCAATAAAAACTTTGGAGGTCAAGTGTAGTAGGCGTATTTATATCAGAACGAGGCTATGTGCCGCGTCTGCGGGGGCGGTCATTAACTGGGTCGCGCGGGGACAAAGACCTCAGCCCCCGGTGAGGGGGAAAACGTGGGGTGGTTTCGCTTTCCTCGGGCGGTGAGTACCCCACCCCCGCGACGACGCCGTTCGGTTACGCGAAACACCGATCTTTCCGCGAACTGTAACTGGGTAGGAAGAGCTTCGCGATAAATGTTTACTCTTTGCGTTGCCGATGCGGGCGTCCACCTCAAGGGGATTAATTTAGAACTTTTCGAACATTAATTCCCGTCCTGAACAGTTTTCCCTTTTTGCGGCTAAACAACGAAATGCCTGGAGATTGAACTGTCGACGTGATTACGCTGTGATTTTTTCGCTTTGTTTTTATCGATATCAGCGAGGCGGACATGACGCTTTGTTTTGGCAGTTCGTGTAGGGGTGACCGGAATGAATGAATGCATAATGTTATTTAATTATGCAAATGATTAACACAATGACGCGTATGCGACAACGACATCGACCTGCGGCTCACAGGAAATCGGTGTCGTGTTCCGAACATGTGGAGGGCATCGCCGATCTTGAAGGCGGTACTCGTAACCACCATGAACAATGGCGTATTTGTTTTTGTTTAACTTATAAGGAATTTCTCTGTGGTCCTTTATAATGTGATACATCATTCGCATTGTTATGTATGCCGATTGACTTCGAGCCCCTTTCCAAGATGAGATTAATTACTTATGCTGGTTTGATATTCGTGTGGGAGTTATGTTCATGCCCTGTATTGTTTATATTAGTTAACGTTAAGTTCCCTAATATTTACCTATGCAAGAGAACTTTAAAATGGTAATAACAAATACAAATAAATAAGCAAATACTTACGTAGATTAAAAACACAAAAGTCCTGAAACTTTTTCGGAATCACATTTATTTGCGAATCTACGTTTACTATATGTACTAGGTATAAGTATTGATCGATAGTTTCAGACCGCCGAAATAATACAATGGTAATGAAGTATGGCAGAAATGGAAGTGGCGCTATGTGGAAATGAAAGACAGCTTGATATACATAGACGACATAGATGACATAGACGTAAAAACCAGTAATAAACTAGTTGTTAACTAATATTATTTGCGGCCTTAAAATAGCTGTGTAAGCACTAGATTTTAAGACGTTTGGCAGTGCCTAATAGCAGGAGACATTAACGGGCCAATGTTTCGTTATGCAAATTATTAGTTATGGTAAGACTCACGAGTTATTGTTGTGTGTTCTATTGTTTGTGTTATTCTATGCATGAAACATTATTCATAGTCACAGAGAATCCTAATGTCGGGATATAAATGCGAAGCAAGTACAAACACAAATCAAACGAACGAACATTCCAAGTATGTGTAGCCCATATAAACGCGTTCCGGATGCGGGATTATCACCCGCGACTCGGCAAAGAAAAGAGTGTATCCGTCGCTGTGGGTTATAAAACAAAAAAATAAAGTGCACTATCTTTTCTAGTAACATTAAAATCCGTGTAGTTGTAGGTACCTACGTCGGATGACGCGAGTGGTCTGACGAATAGTTGTGGCGTGTTGAGGTAGGTCAGTCATCGCGAATCGTTGATTGTCCCCGACTCCCCGCCGACGGACCGGCCGACCGATCCGATATAGCTATCGGCATTGGAAAATTGTGACGTAGCATTGACATGCTAAAAGTTCAAAGGTGATTCGTTGGATAGGAAAAATGTTATTTATGTCGGAAACTGACATTGATCGGATTTTATTTGAAGGTTTTATGATGAGCGAGGGTTTGCGTTTCATGATTTTTTTCTCAGAATTTTCATTTTCATAATATTATTTGACATTATTATTTTTAGTAAAGGTTCGAGTAGAATCCATTGATGTTGCGTTTGCATAAGACGATTCCGTACAACAGCAAAAACCGTATCACACTGCCTGTTTTAAAAACCTTTATCAAGATATCTGTTCAGTATTCTATTCCAATTTCGTCAACACCAAGAAACTCGTGGGTGACCAACATAAACTATGACTTAACTTTACAATAATGTCTTAATGTTTTACCTTTTGTTTCAGGTACGTTTACGGCTAGCAAACTATAATTAAATGCGTCAATAACTGAAATTATTCAACGTGCACTTACCACCCACACGCAAGTTATTTCATTACCGGTGAGTTTCATTGCACAACTAAACTAAACGTATATTGGGTAACTGATTAGGACTGGAGTTGCGAAGGACTTGGATGGAACAGATCTATGCAGGGAGGGTGATTTGATAGGTACTAAGACATAATCTTGTAAGGTAAGATGTTTTAGAATATTTGTTCTATGAAATAACTCTATTTACAAGACTTCGGCCCATATTGGGATAAAATGTCGGAAACATTTTGAATTATAACCCCTTATGAGAGTATACCGTAGTAACATGCCACTTTGTAAAAAAGCGTAGGTGCCTATATATTTTAATAAAATGCCCCAATAGCTACAGTAACCCACAATCATAAATAAAAACTTTTCAAAGTTACAAAACATGTTAGCTATTAACCGTGTGATGTACTGATCTATTCCATACAATCGGTTAATCGATTCCAATAATATTGATGACTGTTCAACAGACAACTTTACGAAACTTCGACATATGCTCTCAATTTAGATTAACCAAAGCTTTTAGTTTAATACATGCGATAATTATTATAATAACTATTACTCATTTAATGCTGCACAGCATTTCGATGATGATTACACGCTACAATCGTTGCGTTTACTTCCAAGTCATAAGCGGTAGCGATCCCAGAAACAATTTGTACAAACTTTCTCCTGCCACGCTATTAAATAAGGCCATGTTCTTAAAATATTTTCTTATCAACTCTATTTATATTAAACCCACAATGACCATTCTATTTCATTAGAATCTACAGTAGGACACAATAACACACTGGTAACAAAGCAAGTTTAGCAATGTATAGTAAATTTAATTAGAACCAATTACAACTTCCGTGGACAAAGAAGAAAGAAACCAAGTGGTAGTTAGTATTAATTGCTCTGTACAATAATTTAATACACCTTAAATGGCATTAGAAGTGACCTATGCACCTTTGGTTTGCCTTCTATGGAACTAAGTCCAAATAGAATACAATACTACCGAGGTGTCGATACATCTCTCATTAGCTGCATGTCTACTTACACTTCCATGTATTTGTAGCTAATTAACGCAGTTGGTTAACTGAAGTAAATCCGTGAAAAGACACACATGGCAGCGCATTGGCTGATATATTAAATTAAAGAGTTGCCTTATTAGTTTTTAGCTAATACATATTTTGGAGAACCTACTTAGGCTCTGCAAAGTGTCTCTACGTCTCTACTGAAATCAACCCTTAATATTGATACAACTAAGCCATAATATTTGTAGCATAATAATAAAATTATAAGAATTTAAATCGTATGTACAGTTGCTATCTACACAAACATATTAACATTAACAGATTAGCGTTAGCAACATCTCAATATAAACCGAGATCCCACACATACTTACATATCTGCAATGCAATTAGAATATACAACCATACATTATGTCATTGGCACTATTTTTCACATCCCATCACACTTTGGCGGACTGCCAGCAAGATCGTAAACGCTCGTAGACGGTATGATTCAGTTACAAATAGTATTACCGTGAATTACTTGACAAGCACACTTTTAGTGTCGGAATCAGCTGACTTCTATTAATAACATTGCATTCTTAGATACATTTTGATGAAATACTACAGGAAAGGCTTGCCAAAAATCCTATTGATTTATGTGTATGTTTATTTGAAATGACAATAATAATTTCATCTTGCAAAAGATTTTCTCATTTGAAAATGACTTCCCGAAACAAGTTTACCAGTTATTTATGTATCTGTTCGTTTATTTTCATATCCAATTCTCATTTTCCAACGCAAACATATCGCTTTTATCTTATAACTTAAACCGCAGTCGAAACAATAAACCGCGCTTTATCTCGTCCTCTCCGAGTGTGATTTATTTATGTTCCAACCGGCCGATAACTGCGCAACTATCTGGATTCGAGTGAGGCGCGTCCCCATGCATGGCCCTTACTTATCTGTTTTCATGTGTACCAATCGATATGTATAAAACACACGAATATTTCAACAGCTACAACTTCATTACCATAGTTGAAGCTATAAAGATATAGGTACTTCATAATCATTATCTTATAGTCGTTCTTTTGTTTCTTTTGTCTTGCTAACTTTTTTATTCTGATCTTCGACCTCATCAAAGTTCTTTTTTAAATACATCATCTCTTTCAAAACCGTGGTGCTCATTCTGTCAATCCTTAAAATGAAAGTTATCTATCTAACACTTCTTTATTTTTTTACACTCATCGTAAGAATGTCTTAAATTGCAACCTCAGAGCAGAATTAAATATGGGTTTTATTCTTGTTCTTGCCATAATTATTACGAATTTTGTCGCTAGGGTTGCCATGCCTACCTATTAAAGAGGGTGCGTTGTATTTCTATATCAATATCAAACACGCAATTTTTCTCTACAGGAACCCTTAAAGTATCTTCAAGATTTCGCTAAAGAAGTTTTAATTTTATTTGTTGTTTGCTTTCGGTTTAATGATTCTCATAAACTATATGTATGACTGGCAAATTAATGACTATTAACTATTCTAATGTAAATTATGCTTAATATTTAACAGCATATAGTGATAATTCAAGTCTATAGCTTCGGTAATCTTCACCACTAATTGACAGTATGTTTAAATTCGATTGATTTATAACTTAAGGGCCAAAGGTCTTACGCATATGAATGTCTATACGACACCTAAGTTCCGTGTTCATTGGACATAGGTAGTGCCTATGTCCTTATTATGTTTGGGTCAAAAGGACAATTCAAAGCCTTTATTTCAAATTGGCATTCCACATCCAGCTTCGCCATCTTGATATTTAAATCTTCACGATCATTCTATCCACTGGTGACTACATAAAAATCTGTTCAGCAATTTTCGACTTGTTTTGCTAATAGACTAAAATTTACTTGATGCGGGTAGCTAATTCGTTTTTTATGTTAATCGTACCATTACACTGTAAAAAAGTCAGTACAATTTTTAGTCTCTCACTAATTTTCTGAAAAGACAAAACTAACTTAGTTTAAAAAGATAAAACGTTCTGAGAGTGTTGAAACTTTAATACTAAGTTACCAGTCACGGTTTTATTTTGTCTATAAACGGCTTTCCTTGCGTGTAAATCTACTTCCCTTTATTCGGGACAGCCACAGACTTTTAAAGACCATTTGTTATTTACGTTCAAAACCCTTATTCCCTCCTTCACATACGTTTGCCGACTTCCATCTGTTTGTTTTGTATTCTGTATTTTACAATCCCAATGTACGCTTATTTGTCTGAACTGACTGTAATGTCGATTACCTAAAACAAAAGGTTAAATTTCATTTATGTTCTTTTCAAAGTTATTTCAGAACATTTCTAGTACAATAGAGTAAAAGCTAAACTCAAAACAGAACTAACATCTCTAGTGTATTAGACACTTAACATCTAATAGTAATTGCACAGCATAAAATCACAAATCTTGCAGGGAAAGCCGCGGTGTAACGTAGCGGTATTTTAGTTTATTGGCAAGTTTTAGCTTATCTTTTACAACCCAGAGCCTCGAATGTCGTTAAGTTTATACATAGTGCGCATAGTAAAAGTAACAACGTTGCGAAACTTTAAAATAGTTTCAAAATTTAATATTCTATTAACGATAATGTGTTTTTAAACCGTGTTTTGAGATAAGAACGTCTTTTAAACTTCCCGCGTATATTGCGTTGCTGTTAACCCAGGAACCGTTTTAGAATATGTAGGTACTAACTATGTAGTTCTATCGGTCTATTGTTTAGATAGATACAAGCGGCAATTATAATTATTATTGTATTCCCATGAAATCTTTGAAATGTATTTCCTAGCTTTCCTAGTTTTATATTCATTTAGTTCACAATTATCTGGATATTAATACAAGTAAAAATATATATTATGCGTAAACTTAATAGTAATTTACATTGTGTTGCGGGTTTCTTTCATTCAATACTTAATCCCAAAGAAACGTAACATGTACTTATAAACATGTGAATGTTATGCATCTTGCATCTTTATTTTAATATCCCCGTATACTATGCAATTGGAAAAAATCTGCCACTCATAAACTGCATTTGAACACGCAGTTCATTAAACAGTGCACTCGTCTGTGAAATATTGTTAAAGAATAGCTAGCTAGCTAATTAGCTATTTCGCTTATTGTAAAACCAAAACTTACAGGTCAGCTTTCTTCTCACAACATTGTGTTACGCTTTCTTATTTTATTGGCTCTCTGCGTCGATTCCACGTGAACAATGCTTTAACATTTGTCGTAAACAGCTGTTGACTGTAAAAAACAATTTTCTTTTAAATTTTAGCCATTTCCGCCCTTATTAGCAGGGAACAACGACCTACAATAGCACTAAAGGCCCCTTTTTACATGACATCGGCAACTTCGCCCTTCGAAGTGATGCATCAAGTTACTGCAACAAAAGCGATTGATTCGCGCTCTCAGGATCAAATGGGGCGAATTTCGGGTGCAAGCCTGGGGCGGGGCGCGGGGAAGTGTGCGGGCTGAGGGGCTTTGAGCAGGGGCAACAATGCGGCCTGGGTATCGATCCACCCCCGCGCGCCGTCTGCCCGCGACGCACCGAGCCTACGCGACCACAGCTAAGCTCCTTCACTCCTATGCAAACCTAGTACTTTTGCTTTCTAAAACATGCCACAAATACACGCGGTCGACCCTGCAATGGTGTGAGAATTAATTTTAGATATTATTTGTGGCACAAGTTACTCGGTTGGCGATAGTTGTCGGGCTAACTTTGTGCATTAATAGTTTTGAGTTTGGGTCGCCTTTACAACACGTTCATTGTAGTGATTAGGGAAATATTAGACTAGACTTCGACTGTGTTGTACTTGTATTGTTTAAAACGAATTTCATATTTTGAAGTTTAAAATCTATATTTATTTTAGGGACCTAAAAATACATAAACGACAGACGTTATCAAAATTTACAAATTATGTAGATGGCATCTTTTTGTGTTATGGAAGGCGAAATGCTAATATAGTTTGAAATAATTTACGTCCACTTGATCACCACTGGATCTTCACTACAATATCGCATCACACAATCATTCCTTTTAAAACCACCCATTGAAACTATTCAAGCAGAAACACAACCTCCCATAATATCAAAACCAACCCCGAAAACATATTCACCAATTAAACTATCCACATCAATTAAACCGTAAAGCTAATTCCAAAACTAACACTTCACGTCGATGCCCAGTGGAGCAACAACTACGCGAGTTGGGTACAATAGGCCAATATTTAGATACCACGATACCAGGGACTAACCGACCCCGACGGAATCTTAGCGAACTGCTCGATACCTGGCTCCGATCGTGCTAAAGGGATTAGTTCAGCCAAACTGTGATTAAACTTTATAGTATTGATACTGAGGGGAGTACAACTTGTGATGTAAGGGCAATTAGTTTGATGGTGATACCTCGCTTGTTATGTGTTGTCCTTGTCCAATTTCAGTAACTAAAATGTTGTCAAAGTTATGCAAAGTTTTTCTAAATTCTCTTCTAAAATAGCGAATATAAGTCAAATGACTATTTTTCCATGTTAATGTTACCTCTACTCTTCCTCCTACTTCAAGGAGAAAAACGAATTCTATTGTCGTTATTACACGCACATTATAAAATGTTTGAAGTTTACTCGGTATGTGTTCTATGAACAATTTCCTTTGACATGCTCCTTCCGCATTGGCACAGCTCCCTGAATAACTAAGTGACAAATGCCTAATAACTAAATTACGCGTAGCGCTCTCGCCGCTATTCCCAATTCCGTTGCGGTGCCAGGAGGAAATAAATCTTTCAACCGACCATTTTGCCATCATAATCAATCAGACCCATTTCAAATACAGCCCACTTCCTTTAGGTGTAATTTCACTTTCATTTTTCAATCGACTATGACAGTTTATTACTTCGCTGTTGATACTCTATTCGGAAAGACATCAGGTCTCCGTCCCTCATTCGCAAAGGTTTTCAAGCTAAGCCCTAAAATATTCGGCGCCCATTCCACTAGATTCGTCGGAACGATATGCTTGTATCTCGTGGTTCCCGAGGTCCTTAGAACTGTAAAAGTGAATGTGAGTGAGTAAATTCCTTTCAGCAGTTTTTAAGTCTAGCACACAAACGTGAGAACAGATAGACACACAAGTTAAGCTAAAACACGTTTCTGGAAAACCGCTGATATTTCTTTCATCTCCAGTATTGTAGTAAGTACGGAATACAGTATGAGCCTATATTATTTAATTAAACATCCAAAATTCACTTTACATCTGGTTTGGAAGTCAGTGGGCGTAGAATAAAGACTGTGTACAGACGGACCGCTCCGGCCAACTAAGGGAGCGTCAGTGAAACCTAATAAAACCGGTTATGGTCCCTACGTGACGCGTGCGAGGTAATGAGTTTTCGGAGAAAGCGCCGCATGTGTAGTTCCCGGTACAGAGCTGTATGCCACGCGATACACCAGTGTGCACTACGTTTAACTGCATAATTGTAATTTGGATCTATGAGTTTGTATACTTGAAAAAGCCGATTAATTTTATTGCGATCGTGACCGCCCACACGCGTCTGCACTGAACTTTATTTACAAAATGTTTGTTTGGGTGTTATTAAATGTCTAATTTGGGTATGATTTATTAGGCAATTTGTTTAAAATGCATGGTATATTTATGCATGTAACCTATGTTAATAAAGGAATTAACTACACATTAACTTATTAGAAGATTAATTTCATCTACTGCTGACGTTTTTCACCAGTAATGCACTTTAAAAGCAGCTAAAAGCGTGAGTAAATGAAAAAATCTAATATCCTTGAATGTGTAGTTGATGACGTAGCACAATTTTATACCAATCGGAACGACAGGGCAATTTATCTTCAATCTATCATGAAACCTTTTCTACTCCGTACTCCGTGGTGTACCTACGTTCCACATACACATGAGTACCTAAAACAAATCCCAAGGTTATTTATTTTTACTTAATAAGTTACTTACTTGTAACCGTTTCAATGTTTTTTCTAACACTACACAGATTGTTATCACTGTGTGATATCAGTTTGTTATAGGTTAAGTTGAAGGGTACGGGGCTTAGCGAGATAACGCTATATGTCAATTAGAATGAGACGTAGTGTAGTACAACATTATTTATTTAGTATGGCAGTATACTAGTCTTTGAAAACTTTCGTAGCTAAAAAAAACTACGTATAACTTTTGAGAAGAAGAAAATAAAAGCAGGAATTTTAAACAACACACCTTCATAATTTTGAATCGCATACGAGTATTCATGAGCAACGAAACTGAACGAATCAATTACCACGTTGTGAACCTCAATGTTTGTCGTTTTAATTTTAAAAGCCACTCGAAACCCTTTGACGGGACCTAAACTTAACATTCCCTACATTCCACGGACGCGTGATATCGTACCAGTGTTGTCCGTCCCTTTCTGTTTCCCCATTTCACCCTTTACTCATGTCGTGACACTTATGACAGGTTGAACTGATAAGCTGAAGCGATCAGCCCGACTTTAGTGCCACTTCTTATGTGCTTAACTAATACTTAGCGACAAAACTGATTTGGAGAACGTGTTTTTTCGAAATACACTTATCACAATCATAAATTTGAAGATAGTGTACATACTCTTTAACATTGTCAACGTAATTTGAATTGTAAATAAGTAAATACAAGCACATTAAAGAGGCATCGCGGTCAATTAGCCGCATATGGAAATGCATAGTGCAGTGCGAATAAAGCCGCACATGTTCTGTCATTCATCGACCTTCTGTGTTCGTGAACAAAGGGTCGCACGCTGACGTTAGTGACTTAATCGCCGCCGCAATATGTACCGGGGCCATTCCGCTCAATTAGCCGCGCCGACCGGGTTTGTCTACTCCGCAGACGCTGAAGCTGTCGGCCGCTTTGATTAAAGTTTGATTGGGAGCTGTCACTCATTCCACGGATTTAGAACGCGCCCGCGCATCGATGTCATATAAACGCGGTGGCGATTTTTGATTGATGCCTTTTATTGTTATTTTTCTTCGTGAGTCATTTGATACGTGTCTTTTTCGACTTTTGAATTTGAACGATTCATTTCCTACTTTTCTCTCTGCAGTTTGTTTAATCGTATGCCTTAATTTAGGGTTTTAACTAGTAACTGATCGTAATGACCCAATAGGTACGATAATTTGTAACTACTATTTATAATTTGAAACTCATTTCATGTCTATCTGTATACATGTCTATCTATATACTTTAATACATTGTATTTTATAATGGCATCACTTATTCCATTTCTGTTTGCTTTTGCTATGTGACGAGTACACATTTAAAAATCAATCAGAAACCAAGCAGTTACAGTTATTGACAAGAAGAAATAAAAGTAAAAAGCTAAATAAATTATTACCTAATTCGCGTAACACGGCAACAACGTTACGAAAGTTTTCCCCTCGGCTCGGGATTCGGGGGAGCTCGGGGTATTATGGCACAGCTTCCCGACAACTTTTTATAACTCGTAGTAACACTTGGAGAGACGCCGTGTTAGGTAATTTCTTTCCCCCCTCGATAGTCCATAACAGTTTTGTAATGTTAACTTCTGCTGGAATAAGTTATGTCAAATGACTTGTATGGATTCTTTTACTTTCTTCACAATCATAACTCAAAGTTAGTTAACCCTGAAAGTATAATGTCGTAAGAGGTCAAGATCTCTGTTACAAAATATTACTCAATGTTTTGTATTTTCCGTCTGGGTTGGAAACAAAACAAAAATATTTTGCACTTTATTTCCGTGAACTTCGATGTAGGGAAAATGATTTTGTTCCGTGGAACAACTGAAGTATTTTATTGCACGGAGACTCAAAAGTACTTCTATAGCGCTTATGGTCAGGGTACCATGAAATGAATAAAATATTTCATCTATAATCCGATTCGACGAAGCGAATTCTATGTGTACGAGTCGTATAAGCCACACTATTCATCTGCGTTCCTCAAACATTCGAGCATGAATGTTTGTTTAGTATGATAATTACCCAATAAAAATTAACGTCTCGGAAATGATAAATAGTTAATATCGGCGCCCTTTAACAACCAAAATATTTAATTAAACTGTCCATAAAGACAGCCAGTGGCACTACAAACTGGTTTAATTAAGAGAGATATTTTAAAACTATCTTCATTATTTAAACTGGCACGTATTTATTCGTTCGCTTCTGGTTTGGACACATTTTTAATGCTACAAATTGGAAATTATTTTAACATTGAAATTGTTAAATAACAAATTAAATTCCCTTAGTTGCTTTATTATAATTCTTGGGATTGCAAGTGATCATTCCATTAATATTCATACTATTGCCATCTTGGGACGAAACTATATGTCTTGAGTATATTGTGCATTGCAGGTGCTTCATAATTACTCAGTATAGTTTATCGGCAAAGACAAATTGATATTCCTACACAGCTTATAGCTCGGTGATTAACATTTATGACCGATGTTTTCATTAATGCCCGGCTGAATCCAAAATCCCCTAAAAATTAACTAGTCAAACAACTGTTTATTGTTTCCGGTGCGTATTGTTTTGACAGATGCTGCTATTGGTAGTCCGCTGTATAACTACCAATATAGTTTTGCCTTTTCCAAACTTCATCAGGATCAGGATGCATCACAATTTGATTCTTATTTCGACTGGTTAGTGCCATGATCATGTCCCAGTATCACAATTTGGACGGAATGTGTAAGTTGTTTGTTGTGTATTGAAGGCGTGGTGTCGTCGTATCTATTTTTAGGTTTACGAGTTCAGTCCCCTTCTCCCCTGCGTCCCCTCGTTCGTGTCGTTCTTCATCCCTGCTGGGCCAACTGTGATGGGTCTCACGTAAACGTCTTATAGA